TGTGTTTTATAGAACAAAAATAATTGATCAAATAAACATAGAAATTAGGGATGCACGATATAATCGGCCCCCTATCGGTATCGGCCTGTATCAGCCTTAAAACTGAGTATCGGACATCGGCCACCCCACCGATATTTAACCCGATATTTGATCAGCTTCTGAGTTTCTAAAGTCAAAAAAAATAAAATAAAAAATACTACTTCTTCTTCTTCCTCAAAAACGTCTTTTTTGCAGACTTAAAACTTCTAAAGACGAGGGAAAAAATACTGATACATTAAAATATCACAATATCTTCATATGCTGATATATTGCCATTTAAAAACACCATATCAATCTCTTTTACTAATGAAATATTGCTATATGTCATCGTTATGCTACGAAATCCCCCGAAAATTCAAGAAATTTTGCCATACTTTTATATGTTGATATATTGAAGCGGTATCGATCTATTTTACTAACAAAATCTCACAAGAATTTGCGAAATATCACGAGAGTTTGTAACAGAGCGATGAAATTTCCCAAGATTTTGAAAGTAAAATAGATCGATATCGTCATTTTGATATCAGCATATGAAAATATATTTGAGTATATTATTTTTCTAAGTTTCAGAAATGGATAATAAAACTGCTATTTTCAATGACTACTTATTTTTGTCCAGCTTTAACATCGGTATCGATATCGGTTATCGGCTACATGAGGTTTAAAATATCGGCATATCGGATATCAGCCAAAATCCCAATATCGTGCATCCCTAATAGAAATATATTTCAAACATCTCTAAAAATAGCTTTCAGAGGCAATATAGGTTAAAAAAAAACATGAAAATAGAGTATAAAGTAAAATGTTGAATTCATTTATTCTCAAAAATAAATAGTTTAAGATGAAAAAATTACCAACCTCCAGTCAGGGCTTCTTGTGTGTATTATAAAAATGGCGGCCCCCTACCCCTGTAGGAGGGTCTAAAGTATACTACATTTTCTTTTCCTGATCCTTGGCCCTTATTTCATGTAATGGGAAGATTTTGTATAGAGTTGGGTTTTACATCTTGACTCTAACAAAGTTAGTTTATATTAACCCTGACCAGCTTTCATGTCCATGTAGAGGAAATGCTTTCAGTTAATGTGAAATATTTTTAGTTTTTCACACAATTTGCATGTAAGTCAAAAAGTTATTTCACCTTAATTTACCTAATTGTAATGGTAGTGTCTCTTTAATGGCTTGTGGTAAACAGCAGGGGGAACTTCTAATGACTTCCTTCCCTTCATTGGCTTCCTCTTAGATCCTGAATAGAATTTAAAATCCTCCTCGTCACGTTTAGAGCCCTAAATAACCAACCTCCTTTTGATATCACAGATCTGATTGTTCCTTGTGTTCCTAATAGGGAAACTTATTCTCATTCTGCAGATTTACTTGTGGTTTTCAGAACTTCTAAAAGTAGAATGGGAGGCAGATCTTTTAGTTGGGCTCCTCTCATTTGACACCAACTACAAGTTATGGTCCATGAGCCAGATACCCTATCTACTTTTAAGGAAAGGCTTAAAACTTTCCTTTATGATAAAGCTTATATAACTTTTATTGTTAATTTGGAAACATATCGTGTATACAAAATAAAATTTTGTTTTCTACAGCTTTCAGGTAGTAAATGAGCAGCAGCTTAGCAGTGAAATAAACATTTCCATTTTACAAAGTAAAGCAGTGATCAAATGTAAACAGTTGGGAGAAAAAACATGGTGCAAAAAATGCATTGATATGAAAGTTCAGAGCATTTCAAGACAAATATTTATGGTGCAAATATGTAGTATTTTGGTTTGGTGCCATCAGTGTGATGCAGATTCTGTGGCTTGATTTAGAGTTTTTTTTTTTCAACAGTTCAGCAATCTGATAGCAGTGGGGGAATTGCTGTTGCAGAATCTGCTGGACCTTCAGCGGATACTCTTCCCAGAGGGCAGCAGGGAGAACAGTCCATGGTGGGGATGTGATGGGTCACTAATGATGTTACGCACTCGGGACACGCAGCTCTGGAATTAAATCTTTTCAATGGAGGGAAGAGGAGCTCTGATTATCCTCTCTGCTCTTCATGTTTAGGTCAACCCCTAACATTAAGTTCTCTCGAATGGTTCGTACGCATAGTGGCTTCATCTGGCTGAGTTCTGTTTAGCTGTGACACCATCCTGGAGAGAAATATCAGCTGGGCTGCTGCCATCAACAGCTTAAATCATAGATGATAAAGTTAGGTCTGCTTTTAGTGTTTAGTCCTGTTTCTCTTGTAGATGTAGCTATGGACTCAGCTTTTACCCCAGCTCTCTTTCATACATTTTGACATAAAAACTGGATCAGAGTCTGTCTTCTTAGCTGTTTATTTTTTTTTCCCTTGACAGAACCACCTGTGGAACTAGTTTACCATTACCTTTTCTAATATAGAATGTATTTAAGGACCAGTGCTTCTATGTGACTTTTTTGTGTCTACTTCTGCCATCTCTGCAGAAGGCTGCTGTGCTGAGCCTGGTTCTGCTGGAGGTTTTTTCTGTTAAAAGTGTGTTTTTTTTTTCTCCACTGTCACTGCATGCATGCTTAGTATGAAGGATTGCTGCAGAGATTCAATTCAATCAAATATCTAGTTCATCCAGGAGGAGCAAATCCTGCAAAATCATTGACCCAATGCACTCACTTGGGTTTCCTTAGATAGAAAGCATTTAACCAATCTGCTTGGATAATCTGATTGATAAATCTCTGTAAAGTACTCCAAAAAAGATGTTTTGAATTTGTGCTATATAAATGTACCAAACTAAACAGTATACTGCTTTTCTTACAGTATTGTTCTGTATGAGCTGTGGATTGTAACTTATTTGGTGTTCTACCCAACCAATTGTAAACCATGCATCTTTCCATTTTAGTGGAATTATATTAGCTAGTTTACATGCTGTATTATGTAAAACCCAAATAAAACATACAATGTTTTGGTTGTGAACGTAACAAAATATGCAAACATTTCAGATGTATGGCTAGATTTAAAAGACACTTTATAGAGTGACATAAGAAAAATGGGATGAGGAAAAAACAAGTGCAATAAGCTAAATCAGCATTTATCTTTTTCAAAAAACAAACTGAGGGATGAGTGAATAAAATCTATATAAGACAAACAAAGAGTGTGACTAACAGAATTTCATCCATACATAAACTCTACATTAATAGGAAACAGTAATGGATCTGATAAGTGGACATTACTTAGAGTGGTAATGATGGAAGAAATGCTGGGGTGGAAACTGTAAAATGCATGATGGGGGAAGGGAACAGGACTGAACAAAAGAAGAGTATAGTCAAAAATCTGAACGTGATTGCAAGAACAAAAGCTATTCATACTCGAGCTAAAGTAATGTGGATTAATACAGTTTGTTCAAATACTTATTTATCATAAACAAGTTCAGAAAGTTGACAACCAATTCCATTTTAGTGCAGCTTCGAAGCTATAAATAGATTTGTACTCCATTAAAGTATAAACAGCAAAAAGGGGAGGAGGTGCTGGACCCAACATCTGGTGAAAACTCCAGCCACTATGATTAGTTAGGGCTAAAATATTTAGCCAAGAATCTAAATTGTGATTATTTTCACCAATGTTGTGATTTTATTGTGATTTTCCTCTCACACTAAGCAGAAGCTTTTCATGACCTTGAATCTTGCTGGTCCAGAGTCCACTATTTCAATACTGTAACTTTTCTGTGAAAATGTTCTTACTTCTACTATCATGCGAGGATCTGCATGCTATAACTGCAAACCTCCCTTCCCTTCTCTGTGGCTGTAAACCCATTTGATGTCATAATCTTGGTGCTGATGGCTGGCTTGATTGCTCATGTCATTCACCTGTCTAGCTCTGCCCTTTTTCTCATCACTGCTCATCTGATCCATCTGCTCCTGCTTCTATTTAAACTCCCTGGTCCCAGCCATCAGTGCCAAATTGTTCTTCAGCCTTTTGGGGGGAGTTTTTCTAGTAAGTCATTGTGTTCTGATTGTCCAATCCTGACCTGTTTTGTATTCCGACCTTTGAGCCTGCCTGACCCTGTTTGATCTGTTTGCCTGACCTGTCTTCAGACATCTGCTGGACCTGGATTATCCTGCCTTCCTTTGTCTGCTTGGATCCGATCTGTCAGCTCTGCAGCCTTCTAGGCTTCCACGTCTAAATTAGCCGAACAGCTGGAATAATCCTCATTCTCTGGGCACGAACTGAACTGTCAAACCAGGTTAGTGACTCACGCGTTCATAATCATCCTCCTTCTGATTAGCGCGGTCACTAACCTGTGTTTCTCACCTATAGATGTTCATGCCCTAGCCGCTGATACCGCAGATCTGCTCGTGGTTTTGAATAAAAGCTTTTTAAGTTATTCCACTGTCTGTCTTGCCTGCATTCTGAGACCCTTTGTTCTGAGTCATTACACCTAAAGTGTTCTACTGACAGCTAAAGGGCTGGAGGAATACATTTAGTGTCATACTCTCATTAAATATCTGTCAAACTGAGTGCCTCTGAGATTTAAAAATTATGTTTTGTTAAATTGACATTATATCACAAATGCAATTATTTGGCTCCCTAATCTCACTAAAAGTCTTCAAACCTAATGAATGGTATCAAGACCATTTTTGTGGTACTGAATCCATTTATCACAAGGTGTGTTAATCCATGCAACATTAAATGATCAAGGCTGGAAGGATAAGAGAAAGAAAGCGAAAGGATAGAATCCATTTTAATTATTTTATCATTTGAGTACGTCACATGTTTAGAGTCATTACTGTCAAACAACAGAATGCAGACTTTATCTACTGTTGCAAAGGTCATGTTTTCTCTTTTCAGAAATCAAGTTCCTGTTCAAACCAACCCCAGCATGACCAATGCAGCATCCAGAACATGACAGCTGCAGGACTTTAGACCTTGGATAGCACTAGATCACTCCCTGTAAATCATCTCTGCAGGTTTTTTCCCTGCATTGTTTATTCCCATAAGTGTCAATGAATAGTGAGACAAATATTCCAACACATATTGAAACCCATGATTTCATGGTGTGATCACAAAGTGACAGAGGAGGGACAGACACGTGCGTAAACACGATTGATGATGGTATGCTGATCTGTCGGACGTCAGCGGGGACACCGAGGGAGCTGACGGTGATCCTGAGCAGCCCGTGGGGCAAATATACAATTTTTTCCCCCCACTCATAAAACGCGGAGGTTCCACGGAGAGGAGGAGACGGGGAGGACGTCCCTGCAGCCAGTCATCATCGGCCACCAGGACCGCCCGCGTGCCCCTGCCTGCCAGCCGGAGCGGAGGCGCGAGACTCACACCGCGAGGAGGAGGAGGAGGAGGAGGAGGAGGGAGAATAAGAGCCCGTCTGTCAGAGTTATTACCCGGTGTGCATGTAGAGAAGCGGACGAGGAGTCTTTCATTTCCAGTTCCTGACAGGACGCATTTTTCCCCGGTGAGTGAGGATAGACTGCTCTGTTCAGTTTGAGCTACAGCCGCTGCGTCTGTTTGTGTCTCTATTAACCGGTGATTTACTGCTGGATCGGGTAGGATGTTTCATTTTAAAACCAAAAAAAAAAAAGTGCATTGGAATGGAGGCTTTGGTTTGGCATCCCCTGCTTTTCCTGCTCTGTGGCGGAATAAAGCAGACTCTGACCGGACAGAGGCTAATGAAATGTAGGCTAACTCCAAACGGGGATAAATGTAGTGTAGCGCTCGGGCCGTGGGATTTAATCGAGGTGTTTGTGTGATTTCTCCCCCTCCTCACCTCCTCACCCCCTCACCCGGAGGAGAGGAGGGGAAGAAAAGCGTTTCCTCTCCTCTTTTAGGAGGACAAGTCGCCGTTGAAACACAACCAGGGTCTATTTAGAGGAAAGACACCGGCCTCAATAGAGCTTTAACCGTGTCTCCCAGCCATCACGTTGTCATGGTTACTGGCTCGAGGAGGCTGGGAGAACATGGCTGTCTCGCTCTGCGCTCTCCCTCTCTCTCACACACACACACACATATATATATTTATACAGGGAGACAGATAGAGAAGCTTAAAAAGCTCAGTTATGTTGGCATTTGGTTCATTTTAAGGGGAAGATTTAAGCAAAATAATTTGGTCTTGGGTTGACATTACTCAGCAGTCCTTGTAATGGATGTTTGACCCAAAGAGTTTTAGGTTTTCAACAAACAGACGAGAAAAAAAATCAACTAATATTTTTTATTAAACATATCAGAGTTTGTTTATTTAAAAAAAAAGTTAACCTAGGTTTCTATAGAAAGGGTAAAAATAGAGGATTTCTATGTTTCTTCTTAGTTCTGCTTCAAAAATAATCAGAATGTTGTTTCCTGCTATGTAATTTTAGTAGAAATTCCAACAATTCTATTTGTACATTTAAAGAAAGCAATAATGTAAAACATTACAGCAAGAAAACTCAACATATAAATAAATGTAGTCTTCTACTCTGCCTACCAGGGCAGGGCTGGTGTTCTGTCATTATACCCATAGTCTATACCCGTTTATCCTATGGCATAAATATCGGTAAGCAGAGACAGCAGTTGCTTATAGGCCCTCGACCTATTAAGGACAGATTAGACTTCTGCAACCGCACACATCAAATGTCGCTTGGGTACGGTCGCGAACCAGTTTTGCTGGTATCCTTCTGCACCATTGGTCTGGAATTTCTAGGGACGCACAGCAGTTTCCCGCCAAAGCACAATGGGGAGCCTATTCGAGAACTCGCGAGAACTTTGGCGGATGGTCACGAGAACTCCGGCGCTGGCGGGAGTGTTTATTTTCCAAAACAACAATGCTGCACCTACAAGATATCACGGTCACAGCGATGGATCTAGAGTTGCTAGACATAGAAGAGTAATAGGTTCTGTTAATGGAGTTGGCAAAAAGACCAATTAACCTTTCGCTGTAATTGTCCATTGTAGTTGTTCCTTGGTTTTTGAAAATGGGGCGCCCCGGCACCGAATCGAGAAGGACGACCACACAGACACCCGGAAAGGCATACCAAGGACCAATCACAGCTGCTTTTTGTCTGTGCACTTCCGCTTGAGGTCTGCGCGGATTTGCCACAGTCCACCGCGTAGTCAGGGTTTTTTTGAGGTGCACAAAGAGGGTTGCAGAACCTCTGTGCAGGGGGCGTGGTCACACCTTGACAGTGCTGAGGCTATGTGTCAGAAGCATATATTGGCCTTTAGTGACCCCATCATTGACACTTGGTGGGCCCCCTACGCAACTGTAGACTAGGACGTCTCTTTGCAGTCGTAATGGTGCAAAAAATTCCTCTTACAACCACCTGATACTGAAGTGGCTGACCCCACCGTATTTATACCGCAACACATGCCAGATTTCAACATGATGGGGCATGATGAATAGCAAAGCAGACAGTGGTACTTTTAATTACTGTGTTAATAACTGTGTATAGTTCATTAGACGATTGATAAAACATACACACCGCAATAAAGTTCTTAAAAGAAGACTTGGAATTATGGGTAACAGGAAACAACGACAGACATTGAGGTCCATGGGCAGTGGCGGCTATAGTGGTTATGGCATAGAGCTTGGAATCCTGAGGTTCTGAGTTCGAGCCCCATTCCCACAGACTGCCACTCTGGGTCCCTAAGCAAAGTTTCTTAACCCCACACAATGTGAGCCCACTGCTCCTCAAAGGGATGGGTTAAATGCAGAGATGTCATTTCGTCGCTCTGTACTTGTGACAGTGTAATGACAATAAAGGTTGGGAAAATTTTTTTTTGAAAAGCACACTTCTAAGAAGAATCATCACTGGAAATCGTGTGGCACGGTAGGGAAGCTGGTATTTTTATGAATGTCTGAAATTTCATGATTACGGAGGCCTACTGTAAGGAGATGATGTGGTCTGCTCATGCGCTCTTTGTTATCTGAGAACAGAGCCAGAACTGAACCGTGCTGAGCCCTACTGATGAACTAGTACCAGTTTAGCGCCGTTCGGTTGAGTTTTACATGGTCCAGTTCAGTTTGTCGCACCATTTACACTCAACAGTTATCTCGTTACCTCTCTCGGGATGGTTTCAAAAGTGTAGTGTAAAAGGGGCTATTGTGTCTTTGCATCTGGACATAGTTGCGTGATACTGTATTATTTATCACTTAAATGTCTAGTGAGGGTCCGTGCGTAGTAGGATCAACAGCTACCATACAGCAAATTGTAATAACATTGTTGCTGTTACTTTTTTTTGCTATAAGTGTTTATAGTCTACATACCTCTGCTTTGGTCCTTTTTTTTTTTCTCTTCTTTCCTTCACTTTCATAAGCTGCTGCTGATGCTTTGATGTTCTTTTACTTGCAATCATTGAAAAGTGTAACACATCAAGGAAGGGCCCGACATTCTTCCACAGTACTTATCCCGTCATCTATGTCAAACATCACTGTCAAAACAAGCGCCATAATAGGAACAGGTCATACAGTCATATCATTGCAAGGAAGTTAAATATTGAGGCTTTATTTTGATGTCTTTTGAAGGCTAATCTCAGGTATTTAACAAAAAAATTATTTGATAATGCACAATTAATAATTTTTTCTTTATTCTGCAAATTTGTGCCCTATCCAGTAGATGGCTCCCCATGCAGCTGCCTATGTTGCCTGTCTGCGAAGCCGGCCCTGCTGCCTGCATTGAATGCTTTAAGCTAAAGGATACACTCTAAAAACCTGAAAAATAGCTAATAGAAATGTTTATTTAAAAAAAAAAGCAAAAAATAAAAAATGTTTTATTTTACTTTATATCTGCCAGGGGTTTAAAACTAGCATGATTGTGGGTTAAGTGTTGCCACAGCAACAAATTAAAAGCAAAGATGTAGGAAGTTGCTTGTGTTCAAAGATCACAAGCTGAATTCTGTACAGATACACATTTTTAAGTGATGCATTAGTTCCCACTATTTAAACTCACCTGCCTGTCATTAAACCCATTTGTTTCTCCTCTGCATGTATAAGAAGTAGGTTTAAAATGATATGGTTACAGATTAAGAATAGAAATGCAAGCATTTAAAGCGAAGCTTGATCGCCTATAGAAGTGACATATTGAGGTGTCCTGGGTGGAGCGGGGTGACTCTTTACGCTTCAGTAGGCCTGCAGAGTCAGACGGAGGCTGTGTGCGAACGGAGACTAAAGGAAAACACACTGGACTGTGCCCAAGTTCCCTTTTCCTTGTTTTTGTGTCTCAGGACTCACAAGCAGGAAATGATGAAATGCTTTTCCTTTTCTCTGCACCTGCACCAGCATTTTTAAAGGTGACTTTTTATCTGCACAGCATGTGTGTGTGTTGTGTCCTTGTTTATGCTGCCTATATAGGAGCTTCTTCTGTGGGTGGTGTTCACTAACCTTCTGAAGATAAATGAGCCTTGGAATTAGGATTGAGGCTTAGATGCAGTTAATGAAAACAGTAGAATTCAAGGGAAAGGCCTAATATGGGAATACATCCAATCTGGTGCAGGTTCGTTTGTACATGAGTTTTTCAAACTCAAAGAGTATCGCAAACCTTATAAATAAACCAAACTTCTGTGTATTTAGTGTGATTTCAGTGACAAAGTTAAGGACAATTGTCAATTTAAAGGAAATCTTTCTTTCT